TCCAGGAATTAGGATGTGGCCATCTTTGAGGGCCAGCCTGTCACACAGTGTTTCTCTATACCTCAAAGCAGCCATAGGGGCCAGGTGGAATTAATCTGTTTTTACAGGTGAGGAAACAGATTCAGGAGTTAAACAACTTGCCCAGGGGCACAGGCTCCAGCACTCAGGTCCACCTGACTGTAAGTGCCTCCCATGATACACCATCTTTTTTAACGGTATGGCCAGTTTCGGGTTCAAAATGCTGATATACTGTATTCTACGGTATTCCGTATTCAGAATGTTACAACAATGAAAAGTCAATACTACTGTGTCATCGCCATTTTGAATAGCACTTTTATCACCAAAAAAGCCTCAAAGTTGTGGGGAAGAGTGGACCAACTTTCCAGACACTCCCTCTGGGATTACACACACACACACACACACACACACACACACACCTTTCCAGACGCTCCCTCTGGGATTACACACACACACACACACACACACACACACACACACACACACACCACACCAGTCACAAGGACTCACCAAAAAAGGCTCAAGTTGTGGGGAAGAGTGGACCAACTTTCCAGACGCTCCCTCTGGGATTACACACACACACACACACACACACACACACACACACACACACACACCTTTCCAGATGCTCCCTCTGGGATTACACACACACACACACACACACACACACACACACCCCTTTCCAGACGCTCCCTCTGGGATTACACACACACACACACACACACACACACACACACACACACACCTTTCCAGATGCTCCCTCTGGGATTACACACACACCACACACCAGTCACAAGGACTGGCTACACAAAGGAAGTGTGACTGGTCTCCCCGAACACTCCCGACTTGGGTAGGGAATGGACCTTTGCAAAACGGGGTGTGGCCTGCCAAGAAAGCTAATGTTGGAAGCATTTTTCCTGCTCCGGATTCAGGAGCCAAGGAGAAAGGCGAGGCTGGCGGATGCCAATGGCAAGTTCTAAGCAAGCCAAAGCGCTCCCCCGCAACACAGGGCACCGGGGTCAACACGAAGACAGAAGCAGTGTATTCCGAAGGGAAGGTGGGTCCGTGAATTGGACGTGCTATTTTCTGTCCACGAGGAGACCTGTAAGAAGCAACCTCAGCTCTCGGGCTCCTTTCCACCAATGGGGCCTCGCTGGCAGCTCACCAGATATTTCTGGAAGCGAGCTAATTAAATATTAACGATGCACAAAATCTTTATCCTCCATCCCTCAATAAGTCACTCTGAAGACCAGCAAACCCAGACACTGAACCCAAACTCCATCTATCCAGAAAAAAAAAAAAGGGTCAGGGAAGGGTAAATCCTATGAGAGTCACCCATTACAAAGTTATTCATTATTAAGTAACCCTCTCAGCCCCTAAGAAAAACCCAACTAGAAAAAACAAACCTGCTTGTTTACCAAACCAACCACTAAAATGTATGGATCTAGATCAGAGATTCTTTTTTTCACATTAAAGAAGGTTGCCCTTGATTTATAATAACTTAAAGAGTAAGATTAGTCAAAATGGCCCTTTAAATTTCATCTCTGTGACAGAACTTTTTATACCTTCTCAAAAGCACAGGGGAAAAAAAATCTAAAAAATCAGTGAATAAAGCTTCTGACAACACCCAGATTCCCTCTGCCGATTAAATTTTCCTCTCCACCCTTGCACAAACTCCTGCCACAATTAATTACGTATTAATGCCTTTAAATTAAATGCCACATTTGTTTTGATGATGGGCTATCCCGGCTGAAAATAGCCCAGATAAGGAGGATCATAAAGATAAATTAATAATTTGCAGGTGGGTTGGTTCCAGGCCTTGGCTTTCATAAAGCCTTGGAGTCCCAAAATTTCATTGTCGTTTTCACCGCTAATCGTAAGCACAAAGGTTAGACGGTCCCCTTGAGTTTTCCTTCTTTCTTTTTTTTTTTTTTAAGATTTTCTTCATTTATTTGAGAGAGAGATAGCACAAGTAAGCAGAGCGGCAGGCAGAGGGAGAAGCAGACTCCCCGCTGAGCAGGGAGCCTGACGCGGGGCTCGATCCCAGGACCCCGGGATCATGACCCGAGCCGAAGGCAGATGCCTAACCGACTGAGCCACCCAGGCGCCCCGAGTTTTCCTTATTTCAAAATGAAAGCTGCTGTAGACGGTGGTGTGTAGATAACTTGATTTGAAAGCAACTGCGGAAGTCACTGCTATGGGCAGGGACAGGTGGGAAGGAACTTGGTACGGCAACCAGCCACAAATGACACCATAGGGCTTCAGACAGGGGCAGGAGGGGTCCTTTCAGCTTCCTTTATTTGGAAAGCAAAATTGTTCTGCTATTTCAGTCTTGGTTGACTTACTTTGGCAAATAAACAAGCGTGCTGTCCCCTCCCCCAGGCATAAGGACACCTCAGTATTTGTAAAATAAAAAGGAACAGAAAACCAGAAGCCCAGCAGCGACAGCGTTCTGTGTTCTCAGGAGGAACACATGTACCAATGCACACCCGCGCCATTGCTGAATTTTGAAAATAACCTTTCCCAGGATAGACGCGTGGGAAGCGCAGGAAGGGAGCCCTAGGAAGTTTCTGTCAGGCGCCCGTATTTAATAAGGGGGTGTGAACCTATTTATATGTGGGCCAGCGCTCAAACAAGTCTGGCTACATACGTGAAACTTTTCGCCCAGCATATAATAAGATATTGTGCGGCCCTGGAAAACAGCTCAGGCGAAGAGGAAACTGGGAGTTTCCTTCAAGGAAACGCAATGCTTCCCCGAGGTGGGAGCATTTTCACACGGCCTGGAAGAAGGTGGCAGGAGCCCGTCCGCCGGAGCCGGGGAGGGGCGGCACGGCCAGGGCAGAGAAATCCAGGCAGGCCCCGCCGGGAGGCGCACCTAGGCCCGGGCACACCTGACCCCACCTGGCTCACCGCCGCATCCTCCCTCGCCCCGCACCTGGGTCGCCCTCTACCTCGCCCGCCGGCCACCTCGGCCCCCTCCACCTGGGTCGCCCGCCACCTCGCTCCCAAGCCACTTGCCTCCCCCCAGCCCCCGGGACCCCGCCACCTCAGTCCCCCGGCGGCCTCTCGGCCCCGTCGCCGGCGCGCGCTTCCGGTTCACCTGCGCGCGGGGCGGCTCGGGGGGGGGCGGAGGTCCCGGCGCAAGGTGGCCGGGGGCGGCCCGAGCCCGGGAGCTGCGGAGGCGCGCACCGGCCAGGCCCCGGGAGGCGCGTGCTAGGGGACCGGGGAGAGGGCGCCCGCCCGCGGCCCCGCCGCTCGCCTGGGTCTTGTCGAACTGCTCGCGCTCGGCCTCCAGGCTGTGGCCCGGCCTGCGGCTCAGCACCCGCGCCGGCACGCTCTTGATGCTGTTCATCCTGCCGCCGCCGCCGCCGCCGCCGCCGCCGCCACCGCCGCTCGCGCTCCCGGCCCGGCTCCGCGCGACTGAGCGTCACGGATGCCCGCCCCAACCTAGGCACCGCGAGGCCGCCGCAGGGCGCCCAGCCGCCCCGCCCCTGCTCCCGCCCCTGGCCCTGCGCGCGGGGGGCGCGGGCCTCCCCCTCGCTCGCCCCGCCCCCGGGCCCGCCCCTCGCTGGGCGGCGCCCTGGCCACGGCCCCCAGCCCCTCCACACCTCTGCCTACCCGCCTGGGCCGAGTCCCCTTGCCCACATCCTCCACCCGGCTCACTAAGTCCTGTCTACACCAGAGCAGGATCTGGCTAACTGGAGAAAACTTGGCCTCAATGAATCTGACCAATGGAATCACAACTAGACATTTTTTTTTTGCCTTTTTTAGTCTTAATTTATGTGTGAAAATGCATACAAGTAAGCCGTCCGCTTTGTGCATCTCCAACGTTAACAGCAGCTGTCATCAACGCGGGGCTGTGGGATGAATCTTCGGAGACTGCAGGCTCCGTATGCGGACACCTTGCCAGAGCCGAGGAACTGCAAGGGGAGGAGGGCAGGCAGGGCCGGGACAACCTGCGGACAGATCTGAACACAACACAGCGCTGGACCATCAAAGTGCATGGAAGAGACGCCACAGGAGGTCGTGGGAGTCTTTTAAAAACGTTATTGTTGGTTTGCTTTTTAAATTATCCAAGACTGAAGTAAAAAAAATATATATATATATATATGTATATATCTCACAATTCTCCCAAGTGTATGCTATCAAATGGTTATTTTGTTTCTGCTGTCCTCAGTTTTCCTCTCAGGATATAGGTGTGAAATCACCCAATACAGGTACTAAAGACTCCCCCTTGAAGAGGGAGTGATGAGTATGAAGAGTATGATGCCTACATACCCCTGACGGTGGTCTCCCTTTCTGTAACTTCATGGATTAATCTCTGCCCGCCCCCAAACTGACACTGGATACTTGAAAAGTTGTATTTGACAAGGCTCTCTTCCAACTCCACCAAAAAGAAATTAACCATGCTTTATCTAATTTCCAATCCCTGAAAGGTCTCTTTACCTGAATAACAATGGCTAATATTTATTGATTATTATTTGCCAGGCACTGAGCTAAAACCTTCACGTGTACTATTTCATTTTTAATCCCCAGCAACCCAGTCAACAGCTGTGGTCAAATAAAGACCACAGTAAAGGGGCTTGCTGGCTCCAGACAGCTGTTTCTCGGACTCCTTTTTCCACATCGAACAAAAGCAAGTTATCCTGTGAACTTCATACTTAACACAGCATCTTCTTTCAAACCAGGCAACGACCCCTCTGGGTTGAGAACATCTGCCACAGTGACTTAACATTAGCAACCAACTACCACTCTTTTTAATAATAGTTGGTTGCTGGGGTCCCGAGAGCACTAAAATATCTCTAATGAATTATAATGTATCTGCTTGTATGTAAGCTTTTGAGCCCCTGGAGGGCAAGGACCACATCATCTTACTCCATTTTATAACCTCAGTGCCTAGCAGAGTGCCTGGCACATTAGCAATGTTCAATAAATGTGTGTGCAATGCAGGGTTGAGAAAATGAGCAAATAACCCTCCATAATTTGGTACACTTTAACATATGGCTTAGTTTTATAAAACGAGCAGCATGGGACACAAGGGTATAAGCTTCCCCACTCTGAATTTGCCAAGGTTCATCTCTGGTAGCATCTTCGGGCAGGAGACCTGGTTCTAGTACTGGCTCCATCACTGGTCAGCTGAGATTCTCCATGTCATCAGAATCAGGGTGCCATTTTGGTGTATCTCCAGGGCTGTTTTCATGCTTCCCGCAGGTTACTACAAAGGCAAAGGATTTGGGTTACGAAGACCTCATGTCAAGGAAAACCCAAGAAAGACGAACAGTAGGGTTTACATCATTGGGCTTACTGAAATGATGGAGCTGCAACCCCCACACTGCCTCACTGACACGTGTGTATGATCTGGCCCCAACCCCTCAGTCCAGCTTCATCTTATGCCATCCTAGTCCATCAGGTATGGAAATGCACCAAGCTCCTTTCCACCTTAGGGCCTTTGCGTATGCTATTACCATTGTGAGGAATGCTCTTCCTCTTCCTGTTTGCTGGTTGGCATCTACTTATCTTTCAGCTTAGTTCAGGGAAGCCTTCCCTGAAGACTCCGCCTTTGACCTAAGCCCCTGATGTATGTTGTCACAGTAGCTCCAAGCTTTATTTCATAGCACTTACCAGTTTTTCATGAACTATTTGTGATTATTTAAGGTCTGTCTCCTTCACTGTAAACAAGGATTCAGTCTTCTTTGTTCACTGTTGTGTCTCCAGTGGCCAGCAAAGCAGTATTTACTGTGTGCTCAAATTATTTTTTTTGTTAGATGTCCTAAGTGTGCATTTGGCTGAGAACCCAGAAATCATCCTTTATAGGACTGATTAATGTGCCCTCCTCATTTGATAAACTCCTCTCAAAGACCACTCTGGGTTTTTTGTTGTTTCCCTATTTATTTATTCATTTATTTTTATTTATTTTTTTGATGTAGTGTTCCATGACTGTTTGCATATAACACCACTCTGGTTTTTAACCTACCTTGTCTATTGTGGTCCTGATTAACGTGTCTGGTTTCTTCGTCTAAACCAACCTCACCCCACTGAGCCTCTCAATACCACGCTTTTCTACTATAACTTTTTAGGTAAAACTGCTTTTAGTGTTTACGTATTATCTTGATTCAGAATTTCTTCCTTTGGGGGTATTTCTATTTCACTTTAGAAGATCTGTCCACAAATTCTAAAATTACACCAGTCTCTTCTGATGGCTGAGATGATTTCTGGCAGGTGAATTACAGTACTATTCCTCTCAAGATGGAAGAATGCTGATGACAAAATATAAATGTTCAGTTTTATCTTGCAACTCTTTCAAACAGACCGAGGGCTGACTCTCCATAACAGAAACTGCTCACATATTTAAATAACTTAGGCTGAGATAGATAAGTTGGTAATAGTATTAAGATTCCCCATTTTTTAGTTATATGTGCTATACTTCACAGTAACGTGTGGGGTAAGATGGGTAGAGTAGATACGGTAATCCTATGAGCTCAAATACATTTAGCCACAAAATAATTTTTGACTTTTTTCATTCTTTAGTTCCCTGAAATTTTCCTACTTCTTAGCATTTCATCAGTGTTCTCCTTCTCTTTTCACTGGGCAAGATGACATGTAGCCACAAACCTAGCATAAAGAGGAGAAATTTTCATATTTTGTTTCTCAGACTGGAAATGAGCCTCTCCAGGGACATTTTAGGTTTCCAACAGCTCAGAATCAACTCTACCTTTCTCAGACTTCCTCTATACAAACCGGCCGTGCCTGAGGGAGAAAGCAAGCATTTATAAGGAACACAGGCAAACCTCACCCAATTTCTCTTTTCGGCACCCTAATTAAAAGGCTAAATGGGGTGGCTCCTCCAGTCTCAGGAAAATCATCTCTGAAGTAGCACTGAAACCTTTCAACAAAGGGGCATTCATACAGCACAACGGAACCTTGATATCTGCAATGCTTAAAAAAAAAATACATTCCCATTCCTGAGGAAATTAACTTGCCAGGTTCGGTTTCAAGGGAATAACCTTCCTTATTTTGCTCCTGCATAATAAAAAGAAACCCAAGAAAATTATTTTTTTCTTTCTTATTAAAAATATTTTTTATTGAATGAAGCTGATCAATTCTCTTAGAAGGGACAGAAATGCACATAGTATATTCTTTAAAAAATTAAATTATAAGTTAAAAGGGAAGTGTTCTGGTTTTTAATGATAAAAAAAAAAAAAGGCATATAAAACTTGATCTTCCAGCAAGCTTTTGTTTGTGTAAGTAGATGGGACTTACTACAGACCCAGACGAGATGGGGCTCTGTTCAGCTTTGGGACAGAAGGACCTCAATTGTCAGTAACTGAGGAGATACTTTCCGGTTAAAATATTTTGTATCATATCATTTTATGTCTATTTTACACAGCAAAGTTCAGGGCTAGAGCCACAAAAGAAGAGACTACTACTTCTCATATATCTGCAGCTGACTCTTGAGAAGCTGTTGGTTATAATTTAAATGTATGCACAGGTTTTTAAACAATCAGATAGTTAAAAAAAGCATTTTACATGCAGGGATTCTCTATTGGATGTCCACACTTTTAAAGAGCTTCTCTAGTATTTAACTGTAGTCTGCATCTTTACAGAGAAGTCCTTTTCTCTCTGAGCATAATTCCGAGTTTATATATAGATAATACACAGTAAGGTCTATTTCTTACACGTAAAAAAAAAATTTCTTCAAAATGAAAACGGTCAGCTTGAAAACAAATAAAATATAGATGTTGAAAAATTAACTTTCAGTTTCTGCTTCCCTTTGGTATTAAATGTTCCTTACAAAGGATTACAATCCCCTTTTTGTTTTCAAGGTTAAGTATTAGGTATTGATGTCTGCTTCCTGCCTTCCAAAGATGAGAAATCAGCTTCTGCAGGAAGGAAATGCAGAATTAATAAAACCAAGGCAAAGAGAGCTGTGCTCTTTAAGTTCCCAGCCTCTAAAAAATTAACTATACATCCTGATTTTTATCTACATAAGGTCATGCAAAATACCATAAATATGAAAACTTCTCAGCAAAGAGAGAGAAAGAACAGGAGAGAGGAAGAGGGCTACCTACACTTACTGCTTTCACAGTCTTCTTGAGATGTTACCAAACTGGATTCTGAAGAAACTTTGCATTTGAAATGCAGGTTTGATAGAAGGAAGCACAGATCAAGAAAGTGCTTACTACATCAATGAACCTTTTTTTCTTTTTTAAAGATTTTATATTTAAGTAATGCTTACACCCAACGTGGGGCTTGAACTCACAACCCTGAGACCAAGAGTCACATGCTCCATGGACTGAGCCAGCCAGGTGCCCCAGTCAATGAACCTTTTTACAAAATTAAAACCCCATGAAAAGACTTCTTTCCAGCCAAATGAAATACTGAAATGTTATTTAAGAGAGAGAGAGGTGGGAGGGAGGGGCAGGGAGAGGGAGAGAGAGAATCTTAATTAGGCTCCATGCCCAGCACGGAGCCCGACTCAGGGCTCGATCTCACGACCCTGAGATCATGACCTGAGCCAAAATCGAGAGTCGACGCTTAACCAACTGAGCCACCCAGGCACCCCTGAAATGTTAATTTAGATTCTGATTTTGAAAGCTGTCTGTAGGGACGCCTGGGTGGCTCAGTCAGTTAAGCGTCTGCCTTCGGCTCAGGTCATGATCTCAGGGCCCTGGGATCAAGCCCCATGTCAGGCTCCCTGCTCAGTGGGGTGCCTGTTTCTCCCTCTCCCTCTGCTGCTCCCCCTGCTTGTGACCTCTCCAGCATCCTCTCTCTCTAATAAATAAATAAAATATTAAACAAAAAAAGAAAGAAAGCTGTCTGTATTCACTTCCTTGTGTTTAAAATTCTAGGCATTAAGATCAAGAACTTTTTGATCTGCATTTCTCAAATAATTGACATTTTACTGATTAAATTTAGAAGGTATGTATAAATAGGTCAAATAAGAGAGAGGATTACAGGTCAAACAAATGCATGGCCTTGACTCTACATTATCAATGTTCCCAAGTTACTTATTAAATATCAAGGGAGATAGAAGGGGAGATACACACAAAGGTGACTTACCTATGACCACAATGAACAGTGAAGCTGACTTCTGTTTTCTTCAATTACTAAGAAAGGCAGTTTTCTGAGCTGACTCTTCTGAGACTTCTAAGTTCTACAAAACAACTTCAAAATTAAGAGTCCAGAAGAGAAAAACTTGACAATACTTAAGACAATACACAAATATAGCAGAAATGCCTTTAAAACACCTTAAGGAATCAATGAAATACAAAGAAGTCATTTCATACAACTACCTTCCATCCAGCAAAGAGGTACTGATTTCCTATTCGTGTGTGGGGCCCTTTTGGGTCTAACTGCCTAGTAGGAAGGCTCTGTTTGCTTTACCATGTATGTTATGCCTTCAACTACGGCAACCTGCTAATGCCCAAATATAACTGGCTCTTTGTCAGCCTTAATATGGACTATGTCATGAACCCTTAATGAAGACAGTGGTCATCAGCAGGAATGAACAACTGTAAGTGCCACTGTTTACCTACTAAGGGCTGGTTAGCACTGTTAGTTGTTTCAGGAGATATTTTTAAAAAGAAGAAGAAAAAAAAAGGAAAGAGGAGAATGATACCTGGAAAGACACGGGTAGACGCAGATGGTGAACTTCAGCTTGTAGGGTAAGCCCACCTCCTCAGCCTCTTCCTCTTCCCCGTGGGGCCCGCATTTGAGCTAGGCTAGGGTTATTCTCTGGGCTTTCACTCGTGCTGCTTCCTCTCTGCCCAAACAGCCTTCCTATGTATTTTATAACCTGATGTATTTTATTTTATTCATTTAGAAACATTATTCTAATGGGAGAAGATATTTGCAAATGACCTAGTGGATAAAAGGGCTAGTATCCAGAATCTATAAAGAACTCAATAAAATCAACACCCCCAAAATAAATAATCCAGTTAAGAAATAGGCAGAACACATAAATAGACATTTCTCCAAAGAAGACATACAAATGGCTAACAGACACATGGAAAAATGCTCAGCATCACTCATCATCAGGGAAATACAAATCAAAACCATGATGAGGTATCTCACCTCTATCAGAATGGCTAAAATTAACAAGTCAAGAAACAACAGGTGTTGGTGATGATGTGATGATGTGAAGAAAGCGGAGCCTTTTGCACTGTTGTTGGGAATGCAAACTGATGTAGCTGCTCTGGAAAACAGTATGGAGATTCCTCAAAAAGTTAAAAATAGAGCTACCCTACAATCCAGCAATTGCATTAGTAGGTATTTATCCAAAGGATACAAAAATGCTGATTCGAAGGGGCTCATGCAACCGATGTTTATAGCAGCACTATCAACAACAGCCAAATTACGGAAAGAGCCCAAATGTCCATTGACTGATGAATGGATAAAGAAGATGTGGTGTATATATGTATGATGGAATATTACTCAGCTATCAAAAAGAATGAAATCTTGCCATTTGCAACAATACTGATGGAACTACAGTGTATTATGCTAAGCGAACTAAGTCAGAGAAAGTCAAATACCATATGGTTTCACTCATATGTGGAATTTAAGAAACAAAACAGATGAACATAGGGTAAGGGGAGGAAAATTAAAATAAGATAAAAACAGAGGGAGACAAACCATAACAGAGTCTTAACTATAGAGAACTGACGGTTGCTGGAGGGGAGGAGGGTGGGGGGATGGGCTAAATGGGTGATGGGCATTAAGGAGGGCACTTGTTGGGATGAGCACTGGATGATAAATGTAAGTGATGACTCACTAAATTCTAGTCCTGAAACCAATACTACATTATATGTTAACTAACTTGAATTAAAAAAAAGAATACATATCAAAACAAACAAACATTACTCTAAAAGGGATCTATAGGGTTTATCAGCCTGCAATAAAAAAAGGTTAAGAACCCTGGCAGACAACACCAACAGTCTCAAAAAAGCAATGAGGATGTCCTGTTCCATGTACTTGTCAAAAGTCCAAATTCAGATTCCAGCTGAATCTCTCCCCATCCCCACCCCTCAAGTAAGTAGGAAGCCTGCCGTGGGGGAAGGTGATGTGGTCAGCTGTGCAGTGTTTTACTCTTTCTTTCCTTTTTTCTCTCTTTTTAAATTCCTGGGGCTCTTTTTAAATAGTTAGTACACTGACAGAAAATAAAGATAACATATGTTCTTATTCCCATCCCCTTTTGTACATGTGAAGAATACCACAGAAACCTTTCAGTATCTTGCTTCTATTCACTTAATAATACATCCCAGAAGTATTTCCACATCCAAGATCTTCCTTATTCTGGTTAACGGCTCTGTAATATTCCATCATGTAGACATACCATCACGACTCCCTCAGTTCCTTTTTGCTGGAGACCTGGATGGTTTCCGAACTTTTGCTATTACAAAGTAGTCCTGCAGTGAAAAACTTGTACCCGGGCCCCTTTATACACTTATGGGTGTCTTCGTAGGAGAGATTCCCAGAGTGACACTGCTATGTCAAAAGATCAGTTCCGCAATTTTTAGGAAACACTGCCAAGTTCCCCGCCAGAAGGTTTGAATCACTTTGTGCTCCCCCAGTGATGTCTCAGAGTGCACTGCAGAAAAAGGCTTTGAAATAAGACCCTTGTTCTCAGCACCAGATGGCAAAAAATGGTGAAGCAGACAGGCCGCTCAGAACCTTATCCTGCTTCCATATTGCAAAACCTAAGGATTTTTTTTTTAAAGATTTTACTTATTTATTTGAGAGAGAGAATGAGAGACAGAGAGCATGAGAGGGAAGAGGGTCACAGCGTCAGAGGGAGAAGCAGACCCCCCCGCTGAGCAGGGAGCCCGATGTGGGACTTGATCCCGGGACTCCAGGATCATGACCTGAGCCGAAGGCAGTTGCTTAACCAACTGAGCCACCCAGGCGCCCCAAAACTGAAGGATTTTTAACCAATTATTTGCTTTCTCCTGTAACTAGCTATACCCAGTTCATAGGACCAGAGGAAGTGAGTTGTAAAGTATGTTGCCAAGTAGATTTACTTTGTTTTGTTTTAAAGATTTCATTTTTTTATTTGACAGAGAGAGACACAGTGAGAGAGGGAACACAAGCAGGGGGAGTGGGAGAGGGAGAAGCAGGCTTCCCGCTGAGCAGGGAGCCCGATGCAGGGCTCGATCCCAGGACCCTGGGATCATGACCCAAGCTGAAGGCAGACGCTTAACGACTGAGCCACCCAGGCACCCCTCTTTGTTTTGTTTCTTAAAAGATTTATTTGAGAGAGAGAGAGAGAACGTAGGAGCACGAGCAGGGGGAGGGGCAGAGGGAGAGGGAGAAGCAGACTCCTCACTGGGCAGGGAGTCTGACTCAGGGCTCCATCCCAGGACCCTGGGATCAAGACCTGAGCCAAAGGCAGACAGACACTTAACCAACTGAGCCACTCAGGCACCTCTAGATTTCTGCTAATTGAATTGTTTTTGCAACATTTCCAGAATTAGTTAATAATCTTCTGGAAAATTTATTACATCTGAAGCCAATATTTTTTCCAACTAATTCCAAATGATTATGTGATTCTGGCTATGGAATGTTAAGTAAGAGATTTAATCACTTTTCCTTACCCATAAGATGAAAGGTTGAGATTACCTACCTCTTCTGGGTCTTTCTAGCTCAAAAATTCTCTTAAACCAAATTTTCATCAACGTCAATAGTTTTGGCATGTTTTCAGTCTATAGCCGAGGTTACTGTTTTGTTTTTTTCCTATCATGTCCATTCCAGGTATTTACTGAGCAATTTCCGTAGAAGATACTGTGTGTGCTACAACTAGGAATGCCAAGATGAATAAGAGGGGCTCCTGAAGGTGCTCACGGAGAAGAGGAAGACAAGCATGTAATCTGTCATGCACTGTGACCTGCATGTTCAAGGAGACACATGCACAGACACTGATACACATAACCGTGTCATGAGGACAGAAGTGAAGGAGCTCTCGATTTTATCTCAGATAGGAATTTAACATAAAATCCTACAGAAGAGGTTAAGAGCCTGAGGCCATAAGAATGAGTAGGAGCGGGTGCCTGGGTGGCTCAGTTGTTAAGCAACTGCCTTTGGCTCGGGTCATGATCCTGGAGTCCCAGGATCGAGTCCCGCATCAGGCTCCCTGCTCAGCAGTGAGTCTGCTTCTCCCTCGGACCCTCCCCCCTCTCATGCTCTATCTCATTCTCTCTCTCAAATAAATAAATAAAATCTTTAAAAAAAGAATGAGTAGGAGTCTGTCAGGTAGATCATACTGAAGGACGGTCAGTTCCGTTAGAATACTTGTTTTGAAAATATGAAGTTGTTCTGACACAGCCGATATATTAGGGAACAATCTGGGCATAATGTGAAGTTTGAATTTATTCACATGCAACTTTGTCCACGAGAAACACTAGGTTAACTGTACCCAGCTGGACTGAGCCACAGCATGCAGGAATACATACATCCACATGCACCCCTCAAACATCCGCTGGCCCCCCAGCTTCCCCTGTGTGTTATAAGCCACACCCATCCACATTTGCCGCTACAACTTCCCATCAGATTACCTTCCTGCCACTTCCCAGTGAATCACAAGCTGCCATCTCCCTGACACCCAATTCTACATGCAAACTTCAGGTCTCTTTCCAGATAAAGTGCCATATTTATTGCTGTATTTATGTATTTCTTAACCACCCAACAGGTATAAAAACTCCTACCATTTTGATTACATTCCTGTACTTTTTTAAAAAAATGTATCATTGGCAAAGTGTGTGAGTGTTACGCTCCTAACCCCATTTTTTCCTGTAAGCTGTGTGGTTTTTATTGTATAGTTTTGTACTGTGTGGACATATTTAGGAATCCGTAAGTTGTATTACAGAAGAAGTAATGTGGTTATCAAAATATTAAACAAGGCTGTGATATAATAATATGCACCTTTTTTTAAGTTTTATTTCAGTAATCTACACCCCATGAGGGGCTCGAAATCACGACCCCAAGATCAAGAGTTGCATACTCCACCAACTCAGCTAACCATGTGCTCCTTGCACTTTTTTTTTTTTAAAGATTTTATTTATTTATTTGAGAGAGAGAGCATGAGCAAGGAGGAGAGGGAGAAGGAGGCTCCCCACTGAGCAGGGAGCCTGACGTGGGACTCGATCCCGGGACCCTGGGATC